CCACTTGAGTTTCATTCCCAATTTTCCACCTAATCCCATCCCTTACCATCTCCTGGGCTACCATCAGGCTTCTCCACACATAACTCGGATTATGTCCATTTCTAGCATGTCCATTAATATTAGAAAAAGAAATGATTGGTGTTTCTGGCTTTTTTGTCTTGGGAATCAATGCAATCAGTTGTCCCGCCCACCAGCACACCCCCTCCCCATTTTTGGGGGAAACCTCATTTCCATCCCCAATTTTATGCACAAAATGGAGGTTCTTCCCATAAATGATGACAAAAGGGGAAATGGCGCTCCTATTGGAGTCAGCCGTATAGTGATAGAATTCAAATTAAGGGTGAGAAAGTATTAAATTTTGTAGGTTTTGTAATTTTGGATTTGGTTCCATATCATTTTCTAATATTAATTTAGTCCTTAATTAAATACCTTATTCGGGTCCAATTGTACACATTTCCCCCCTAATTTCTTGATGGTTTGGCTTTGCATTTCATCATCCCTCGACATATTTCATGCTAGGTTGTGCTTGTTTTGATACATTTTAGGTCCTAGCATGTGTGGAAGGGTCGAGGACGAGTTTCAGGACGATTGGAGGTCGAAAAGCGCAGAAACCGAAGAACCGTGACAAATCCCCCGTGACAGTGAAGCGCAGGCGTCCAGGAAACAGTCGCAGTTCACGACGAAAGCTGTGAGTTCACGGTCACCAGGATCATGAACTGGAACCAGGAACCGTGAACTGAAGGGTATACATAGAGGTTTCAGAGGTTACTGACGTTGAGTCAATTCACGGTCGCAAGACCGTGAACTGAAGCCATGGACCGTGAATCAGCTTAATGAAACAGCGCGAATTGGTTCGAGTTCACGGTCCCCGCTATTAGTTCACTGCCTTGATTTGGGACCATGAGCTGATCACGTTCTGGGTATAAAAGAAGGGAGCTGAAGGAGAAAGTGAGCTTTTCTAGGTTTTTAGTTTTCATAATAAAGGAGAGTTTCCAGTGAGAGATTAGGGTTTCCTCTTCCTATTCTAGAGAGAGAAAGTGTCATTCAAAAGAGGAGGAAGGAGATTGAGCTCATTTCAAGCTAGAGGATTGAAGGTTTCTTCTTCTAAAGGGAGATTCAAGCAAGGAAGAAGGAATATTGTCATCTCTTCATGGTTCTTCATTTCTCATTTTTATGCCAATTTAACCTAGCTTAGAGAGAAGCTCCGTTATTTTAAGAGTCTCTAATTGAGCTGGGTTTTCTTAGGCATTTCATGCCTCCTAACTAGGTTAATGAAGGGCAAACCTCTAAACTTGAATTAGACACCTAGGTTAATTGTGATTATGCCGTCCAGACCTTGGTTTGAGGGAGAAGGCAAGTCAACCCTCAATTGCTTGGGCCAAGAGGGCTACAATTGTAGCCTATAATGCTTACCTTGGCCTAACAATTGAGAGGATGTATTCTAACCATTGTTGCACCTCCTACGGGTCACAATTGCCTTGTTTGCCATCCGAATTGAGTTCCGAGGGATGGGTTCTTGCAATCCTTAGTTTATCGGTTAAGAGAGCTAGGACTCCTAGCTTATTGTTGCAATCCTTATCCAAAAGGTTAAGAGAGCTAGAGTTCCTAGTTTATTGTAGCAATCCTTAATCCATTGATTGAGAGAGCTAAGGATCCTAGCTTAATTGTTTTCCTTAACCGATTGATTAAGAGAATGAGGTTTCCTTCACTTGTTGCACCTTCCTATGGTGTATGAACACACCTCCACACATTCTCATTTGATTTGGTCGATCTTGATATGTAGCTAGGGGGAGCAATACCCGGGTGAATTCTTCTCTCACTGGGACAACCTCGATTTACTTTACTTGCTTGTTTTCATTTGTAGTTTTCATAGTTTTAAACCCAAAAACGTTTGCTAGATAACAAACTAAGCGATTGAAGTAGGGGTACATGGACTGACCCGAGTTGACAATTTAAATACTTGCCCTATACTGCACCCAGCTAGAGTTTAACAACTTGGGCTCTAGTCGGGATTAATTCGTGGTGTAGCTTTGTGCGAGTCAATACCAAAAGGCTATTTTCATAAAACTCAAAACTAACTCCTAATATATATGAAAAGAAAGGCTAATTCTTAATAATAGTTTAATTATTAAGTTACATTCTCTATTGTGATGTCTACATAAACATATATGTTGAAGGACTATGTTAAGGTTCTTAACGAAAACTGTGACTTATTATTAGAGCTAGAAGTATGGTATTTGGGATATACCGAATATCGTAATGAATTTGTAGGTATTAGGTATTATCAAATATACGTGTGATTATATGGAATTGAGATTATGAATGAATTTCAAGGGTAATTTGATAATAGGTATTATGGGATTGGGATTGGTATTATACCAGAATATCTATCAATACCGAAATATAAGATAGTGTCCCTCTCAACTAGACTCCCTCATTCACTATACTAGATCTTCAATCGCCAAGATGATCACGTAATTACACATAGCTCATTTTCTTACCATTTGACAACACATATCAGCTCATTTTGTTAGTTGTGCTATATTTTATGGCTTGCTTATTCATTTCCTATTTCAGTTTGTTGGTTTAGTTTGTTAATGTGCTTCTAGGGGTTGTTTGGAGGTTGAGATTCTTTAAATTAAAGCATTTAATCAATTTGTGTATTGTAATATGATGTATTGATGAAATGTATGAATATGATAAATACATTGTTTGGAGGTTTAGATTGTGCTTTGTTATAAATAAAAAAGGGTAAATACAATATATTATCCATAACTATTAAGTAGCGGGGAATTATAGCCACAACTATCGAAATACAAATTATTAGCCATAACTATTGTTGTGTGTCAAGATTTGGCTAACAGCCCGTTACTGTTTTCAAATTTTTAACGTAGAAGGCCATGTCAGCATCGTAAAAAATATGATATGATGACTGCCACGTGGGAGCCAGCTCACCATCATAAAAGCTTAGTCATCATTACTAACAGAAGTGTTAACGAAAACTTAACGATTGGCTAATAATTTGTATTTCGATAGTTGTGGCTATAATTCCCCGCTGCTTAATAGTTATGGCTAATATATTGTATTTTCCCAATAAAAAAAGTAGAGGGTAGACAATCCATTGGTCACAATCTCACATTTTGGTAGAAATTGATAATCATTCATTTTTAGTGATTGTATGTGGGCCCAGAAAAATGTAATACATCTATTATGTCACAAATTTAACCAAAAAAATGACTTAATCTTGACATTACATGCATTGGCTAAATACATCGCTTGAAATCACAACCTCCAAACGACCCTTAGACACCACATTTTTCGAATGTGTTGTTATAATACTAGAAATTTTCCACATTTGTTTTGCACAAGTGTTGGCACCACACCATAATTTATTTTTTATATGTTTTGAGCAAAAATGTGGTCACTAGTTGCCAAGTGAAAACACATTGGGCATTTTTCAAAGTAGCCTCAAGCCCTCATTTTATCAAAAGTCTTAATGGAGTTTGTCGTCACCAGCCAAGTGATGAATTGATTTTGAGGTATAGAAGGTCCCTTCCAAACCAATTTCCTCTATCTTTGTTTGGTTTGTCGTCAGGCAACTGCGGCCTCGGTGGTGCCTCAAGCGTCGAAAAGTTTCAGTGGAGATGGAACAACAACGATAGGAGAGGGAGTAGTCGTTGTGGAGAAGGATAAGTCGAGCGGAGAGTTGATAGATGCGACGGTGGCCGCCGGATTGGAAGACATTTTATCCTTCCTAGTTTTTTTAATCGGCTCTTATCTTCTTCGTTCTAATTTCAATTTGATTTTTTTTTTTTTGCACATATGGAACTGGTTTGTTGTGCTCTACAAAATGAGATCATATTCAATATTTTTTGAGAAAAAAAATTCATGTCTCTCGTTATTAACCACATACCATATGGTATCTCCTTCGTTTTTAAGTCTTTTTGAATTTTTTTGCACAGAATGAACTAGTTTATCATGATCTATTGGATCTACACATTTTTTGGTGAACAAAATATAGGACCAAAAGTACCATACAATACCACACTGGTATGGGAGGTGGTATCTTGTGGTACACAATGTTGAAAGTCGTAAATGACGGTTAGTACACATTGTGGTACACAATGTTGAAAGTCGTAAATGACGGTTAGTATACTCTTACTATCATGTATTCAACCATCATACAGTCTTGGTATGTTCATACTTCCATAGTACGCTTTTCATACCATATGGTATGCTCTTATTTTAACACCAATCAATACCACCATGGTATAGACTGATAGAAAATGTCTCGATTAAATTTGTTCCAAAAATATATCAAAGTAGATATTATTTTGAAGAGTACAATTAATCTAATTTATCTGTGCTAAAAAATCAAAATTCCGACTTCAAACGAGAGAGAAATAGTTCGTTAAAAATAAAGTGAAAAAGATTAAAGGTTTTCCAGGAGAGAAAGAGGGGTGTTGATGTGGTAGATTCTGATTATGTTACTGATTGTTATTGACCAGTAAGTTATACATGGGATCCACTCCCGTGGGAAGGATTTTGCATTGAAGGAACATAGATAGAGAGAGACATGAGCAGGTATGAGTGGGAGTGTGGGAAGAAGGATTACTATAATACCGCGAATTGTTATCATGGTGCTAACTCCCACTCCCTACTTTTCTCCGTGTTCAGGCTCTTCATTACTCACACTCCTATTTCTTAATGAAATTAGGTTTTAGTAAAAAAAAAACCTTTTAATATGCCCTCCATTATCCCCAAGTTTGAAGATGAAGCTCGGAAATTAGCTCCCTGCCGGCCGGCGGCTGGAGTCGGAAATTTGTAATGATCATCGATAATTCATTTTAAAATTTTCTTTCCTTCCCACAAAATTACATTAATTGTATCATTCCACCATGACCATACTAGCTAGTAGTTACCACCTCCATTTCCTTATCTATATATGCCTTCCCTCACAAACTTTCTTTTTAGTCCAAACGAGTCCCCAAAAAACCCCATTATTGCCAATGATTCCCGTAGCGGATGAGATACGTGCGGCCGGCGTGGTGACGTGGAGCGAACTTCCTCCCTGGTTTAGCCACCGGCGCCCTCGGAATCTGCCGGCGGTAGCACCTCGGAGAGTCGATCGTGGCCTCGAAAGTATTAGACGATGACGATGACGAGGTGGACGAAGAAGAAGACGAGGATGACGACGGAGGAGGCGATTGTTTTTTCGCCGGCGGCGAAAGGAATGCTCTGATTTTTAGCGACGGTGACAAAATAGTCTTCACAGGAGACAGATCATATTCCTCAATCAGATTGGCGAGATCCTCGTCGGAGACTATTGACACCAGAGCGTCGTCGAGGTCGGCTTCCGGCGGTAATTGACAGCGCAAGTTCACCATAGCACCACCGCAAAACTCCCTCAATTTGGTCAATAACTCTGTTGGTGATTGGAAGAAAGAAGAAAAAATTCCCAATTTCAGTGAACTCTGAATTTGGAGGGGGACAGGGGAGGAATTATTAGATAGGGGAGGAGAATAGTTAGTTTACCGGAGAAGGAGATGGAGCGATGGACGGCGAGGATGCGGGTTTGGCCGCCGTGGTAACGGAGCTTGCCGTCAGGATAGTGAGGGACGAGCTTGCCGCCGTAGCTACAGAGGAATTTAAGGGTGGTTTTGGAGTCGATCGACGCCGCCATGGGGAAATCGGAGTTGGAATTTTGGAGTTTGAGGGTGGGGAAAGGGGGTTGAAAAGAAGGAAGAATACTTTTTCCCCCCAAAGGATTGGATTTGGACTTGAGCTGGTTGCCGCTTCAAGCCTGATTTTGATACGAGTTCACCACATATATATATATATATATATATATATGTATATATATATATATATATATATATATATATATATATATATATGGCGAGTTCTATGGTACCCTGGGTAAAATCCGGGGTACCGCATACCTTGAGTATGAAAACACTATCTAGACCTTGAATTGACCGATCTTTCGGACATGATACTGTAATCTAACCTTTAAAGATCAAAATCTAGGTCTTAATTCTCCCAATTTTGTACTCAAAGATCAATTTAATTAGAAACAATAATCGACGGTTATGATTCGTCCAAATATAGACACAAAAAGGAATGCACCATCTTAGGGTTTATAGATTATGATTTAGATAATTAGGACCTAGGGTTCACTCATTAAGAGTTAGGGTATAGTATCATACCCAAAAATCCTGCTAATTCGAGGTCTAGATACTGTTTCCATACTCAAGGTATGTGGTACCCCGGATTTCACCCGGGGTACCATAGAAGGCACCATATATGTATGTATATATATATATATATATAGGGGAAATGAAAGGCTTTGGGGACTGGGGAGTTTGGAGAAATACACAAAAGAATGGAGGGAAAGAGGGCTAGGATTAGTGGGGCCTCGTCTGACGTGGGCATCGAGTCCTCCATCCTCCGGACAATAGTAGGATGGCAAAGTAACCAATTACAGTTGCTATCCAATCGAATTCGAGTGAATTTTATGTACGAAGAGGATAATAGATTTGGTGTAATTTTGATATCTTAAATATCCAAATCGAGGTCATTTGAATATGTGTTGCATCTATTTTCTAGACATACTCACTTTAACATTTTGATAATTCATATCTCTCAAATATCTTAGTTATCTTTTAGTCCTTCATATTACTCGTTTTCTATCAGTTTTACGAACAAAGAAACATCAATTAATGTCATATTGACATTTTAAGAAAAATTTTAGACTATATCAAGAACTATATATGTTGAGTGTTCAAGGATGGTGCATGTAGGTTCTCCATAATAGCATACTAGTTGGTTTTGGTATGTCATATTATATCCCAACATACCTTTGGGTACGAGGATGGTACGGGTCTAAATTAGTCGTTCGCTTTAAAATAATATTCTCTCTGATATATTTTTTTGTGACATATGATACAAGTCTATATCATGGTGCTAATGTTTGATAGTACATCAGATTATAGCAATAATGATATGTATGTCGTATTGTAAAATGGTAGTACATGTTTGTAGGAATATACTAACCACATTTCACGACTGTCTACCACCAGTTACCATCCTATATCAGAACGATATAATTGGTCCTGAAAATTCTTTTTCGTATATTTGTAGTTCACAATTAACATGTTTCTTCTGTGCAAAAATATTCAAATTGAGTTAACAAAACAGTGGTACATAGAGATGCAGGGTGGTATGAAAAAATATCTCGTAATATACAAAAAAAAAATGAAAATGATTTAGTGGATCACAATAAACATGTTCCATCTGTGCGAAAATAATTTAACATCCAGTCAAAACAAATAAGATACAAACTGATAAAAAAAGTTGGAAAAATAAAAGTCTTTTAATCTCATTTCTTAGAGCATCTCAATCAATGCAATTGCAAAAGAAATTACATTTGTGTTTTTTATTGTCAACTCAAAATTATTGCAATCCACATCACATTCATTTCATTCACCTACATCAATGCAATTAACTTACAATGGCAAATGTAATTAAATATTATGTTTAAATTACAGAAAATTAAGTAAGAGAGAAAATAGAATAATATAAAATAAAAAATCCCCATTTTTGTAGGCTTTTTTTACTTGCATTAGGAATTGCATTTGTTGTAAGGTTGCAAATATGCAATTGGTAGCTACATCAATGCAATTGATTTTGCAATTGCAAACACCTATGTCATGTCATTTTACAATTGAGAATGGAATACCAATATGATGCTCTTAGATCTAATCCCACTAAAAACCCTTGAGGTTAGATCTTGTTACGCACAAATGCATGATCAAGGGTTAAGCAACTTACCCTAAACCCTAATTTCCGATCCGCACGCGAAAGGATTTTAAGTACATTGTATTTACTTTTGATGGTTAATTAATCCATTGACATTTAATTAACATCATCAAAAACAAACATTCCAAGAAAATAGGGTTGGATCACTACTCACACCTAATAAGCATGGAGATACAATATGATTTAATTAACGCGACCAATATGATTTATTGTCAGGCGTTAGGCGGGGTTCAGAATACAAATCGCTGTCTTGACCTCTCATTCTAAACCACATGGATAACACGAATGACCATATAAACTGAGAGAGAGAATACAAAAGAAGAAGTTGCTCTAAAGAGAGTCATCTCAAGCAGGGGCGGAGCCGGGATTTCGAGACCGGGTGAGCCGAAAATAGTTAACTATAAATAAAAATAAAATAATTATTTTAATTATTTTTAAAGTATACAAACGTCCTTTGAGATCTTAAAAAATAGCATCTAAACTAAATTTTTTAGTTATCTTTCTTTCAATATAAATAACTACATCATTAACAAGAAAGTCATCATTTATTTTGTTTCACAATCTATTCTTCACTATCTTTATACCTGAAAATATGCACGATCACATGTAGCAGTGAAAAACTGGAAGATTTAAAAGAAGACAAATCAACCAATCAACAAAATAGAATTTCTTTGACAATCATATTTCTATTGATCCCGACATAGATAAAAAAAAGATCATATAGTTTCTATAAAGAGCTAAAAATTCCAAGTGGACTAAATAGAGGTTGATATTTTCATTTGTAGTTTGATTAAAGTAAAAAAAAAAATGATGGCGGCTAGATTGGCGACTATTTTACCTTCAATTGTCTCGGAAGGCCAGAATGCTTTTATTCGAGAAAGGCAAATTATTGAGAATATCATAATTGGTCACGAGTTGATGCACTATTTGAAAATCAAAACCCGCAGTAAGAAAGGGTACATGGCTCTGAAGGTTGACATGGAAAAGGGCTATGTAGAGTCGAAAGACCGTTTCTTCAGGCAGTTTTGAAGAAAATGGGTTTCAACTCGGTCTGGAGAGGATGGATCCAGGAATGCCTTCAATCTACGTCTTTTTCAGTTCTCATGAATGGCACTCCCTCGGGGTACTTCTCGCCCTCCCGAGGTCTCCACCAGGGGGACCCTCTATCACCGCTTCTGTTTGTTCTTTGTACAGAAGGCTTCACGGCTCTTCTTCGCAAAGCTATAGTGGAAGGGAAACTGGAAGGTGTGAAGGTTGCCCCCCGTGCTCCTCGTATCTCTCATCTATTCTTTGCCGATGATTCATATCTATTCCTGTGGGGTTACCTCCAGGAATGTGAAAATCTGATAGATGTGCTGAACGAATATGAGGAATTGAGTGGTCAACGTGTGAATCTGGATAAATCGGCTGTTTGTTTTAGCAAGAATGTAGACCAGGAGGATCAGGTGTTTTTGGTGGCAGTTATGGGGGTGGGAGCAGTGGGGGTCCATGATAAATACCTGGGCCTACCAACTCTAATTTCCCGCTCAAAAATGGCGACCTTTCGCTACTTAGAGGAGAAATTGCTCGAAAAATTACAAGGATGGAAGCGGCGTACATTATCTTGGGCGGCTAAGGAAACTCTTATTAAATCCATTGCATTAGCTTTGCCTCTCCATGTAATGTCTTGCTTCAAGCTGCCTTTGTCCCTTTGTAGATTGCTTGATAAACATATCGCCAGATTTTGGTGGGGTGGGACAGATGATCAGTCACGAATCCGCTGGGTCTCCTGACGGAATATGTGTCGTAGTAAACATGAGGGGGGATGGGTTTCCGCCGCTTTGAACAGTTTAACCAGGCCTTACTGGCTAAAATCGGATGGCGCATCCTCGATGAGCCCACCTCCCTATTGGCGCAGGTCTATAAGGGTAAATATTTTCCGACTGGGAGCTTTCTTCAAGCCACTGCATGATCCAGGCCTTCATGGGGCTGGCAAAGTGTGCTGTTTGGGAGAGAATTACTTGAGAAAGGGCTTCGGTGGCAGATTGGGAATGGGAAAACAACGTCACTACTCTGGTCGAATTGGATTCCACAAATTCACCCTGACCTTCCGGTTGCTAACCCATAGGTCCTTCCGGTGGGGGGTGACCCTCGAGTGGAGGAGGTGATGGATCCGATTGGGGGTGGTTGGTCTGATGCTAAGCTGGGCCAATGGTTTGATCCCCCAACATGCCGCCGCATCAAGGCTATTCCTTTGCCAAGAAGCTCTGTGGAGGACAAACTTATTTGGCATGGTACGGCTGACAGCACATTTACTGTTAAATCAGCCTATCATCTAGCTGTTGATCTGGATAAAAGAAATGGCCTTTGGAGGTCTTTGGCCAACTGGATGGATAGAGCTAGCTAGATTTGAATTTGGGAGGCTAACATCCCTCCCAAGTTGAAGGTGTTTGTCTGGAAGATCTTCCAGCGCATCCTCCCGACTACAGAAGCACTTATTTAGAAACGGGTCCCTGTTCTCCCTCGTTGTCCGGTCTGTTGGGGGGCATCGGAAACAATGGAGCATTTGTTCATTGACTGTCCGGTGGCCCGGGCCCTGTGGGACTACGCGGGGCTGGAGCATCTGGGGAAAGGCTTGCCACGCCTTACTTTTCCTCTCTTCCTCAAGAGGTTGGTAAACATAATTCAGCAGCACTCGATATTTATGTCGGTGGTGGTCATTCTCTGGCGGATTTGGAAATCTCGGAATTGGGTTGTCTTTGAAAGCAAGCAGTTTGAATTCTTGGCCTTGATGCGCCAATATCACCAGCAGTGTGAGGAGTGGGAGAATGTGATGGGCACCAGGATGCCGCAGGATAGGCCACCAGTTGCTCCCATAACAAA